AGACTCGAAATTGATCATTATTCCGGCATCTGACTTCGTTCGGAACAATATTCTCTTGAGTGCACCATTAGAGCGAATTACTTCCACATCTAGAAGGCTAAACGCCCCTCTTCCTCTTCATACATTGTGAATTTTATTATTTCATTAATCTGGTTTATAAACTTCAGAGAGTCGTCCAATTTCTACCTTCAGTGCAACCAAAGTGCGAACAAGTCATCCAGGTATTATATAAGCACTCTTGGCTGCAGTGGTGACGCCTCGAAATTCTCTTCAAATTTATTCATGTATACAGCGGCCAACAGAGATGAGGACGGCGATCCCATAGAAAGTCAAAATGTCTGTTCAAAGACGTTGCCGTTGAAGGTAAAGTAGGTTGTCCTTATTGTCAATCGGTCCTGTTAACGATTCCATTCTCATACTCTCTGTTTTTGGGATATCCTCTTCTCGATCTAAAATTTCTACCAGGGCCGTTAGCGCCTTTTATCAATAAATGTTTGGATACATAGAATGTACCACAAATCTGACAAATAATTCTGTTTCTTCCGGTATCATGTTTTTATACTTTAAGAAGATCTAGAGGAAGGTCTAGAGGAACGCACTTAGTCCGGAGTCCATAGTATGCAAGGTAATTTCCAGTCGGACCGCGAACATGGTACATTCCCAGAAGTTTCGCCAGAATCGTCAGCAAGCCTTGCCACTCTTAGCACCACACTCGTCAGACAAGCGAAGACTATCCTTTGACTAATTGGCTGCTAAACAATTGTGATATATCTCATTACGATATGAGCTATTCACCAATCCTGTAGCCTCGTATCACCCTTTCACTATCACAATATCTTAATTACTCATTTAAACGTGGTATCGTGTGCCCTTTTTTTAGAAGATTTCATAAGAACTCTCCAGACCCCACGGTGGCTTTCTCACATCTCACCCCGCAATCCTATTCCCATAGGTCTTATTAAAATCTAATTCTTGCCCCGTAGGATCCGTCTCCTACCTACCTGGCCCAAGTATTTCACTCGACTCCTGTCAAATTATCTGTACTAATCGAGGCATTATTTCCCACGCTAATTCAAGCCTTTGATGGCATGCATACTCCCACCCCGCTGCGTAGCCCCTAAAAATTAGGATTTTCAAGATAGATGGGAGACGAACTTGAGTCAAAAGAGCCTAAACAATCCTCATCGTCAACCCATAGCTTAAAGGACCCGTTCTATGAACAAATAAACCTATTGTTAGCCAACTAGCTATAGTCTCCGCGGCATCTATTGTGCTTCTACCCATAGTGCCAAGTCTGTGACTAAACTTGACCTAATCAAAACAAGTAGAACCACAAGATTTGTGGGTTGGCATACACGATACTAGGGCATAGAATGTCATAAACTTGACACTATGGGTAGAAGCACGATAGATGCGGCTAGTTGGCTAACAATAGACGTATTTGATCATAATCGTGGTCCATGAAGCAAACGCTTGACCATGAAAATAACTCGGGCTCTTTAGCTTCAAACTAGTCACCCATCCAGCTTAAGAATCCTGATTTTTAGGGGCCTACTCAACCATCCAAGGCGTGAGACAGTGTGGGAAATAACGCTTCGAGTAGTACAGATAGGGTGGCAGGGGTCGAGTTAAATACCTCAAACAAAAGGGAAGGTGGCAGATCCTACGGGGCAAGAGGGGGACTCTGACAAGGCCTATGGGAAGATGATTGCGAGGTGAAAGATGAGAGGGTGATAAAGCAAGTGTGGGGTTTGAAGAGTTCTCATGAAATCCGCTAAAAATGGCACACCATATCACATTTAAATATGGAATTAAGAAATTTTGATAGTGAAGGGATGATACGAGGATATAGGATTGGCGAATAGCCCAAGGCAAGAGAGATACGACAATTGTTTAGCAGAAAATTGGTAAAAGGATCGGTTTCACTCGTCTCATTGATGAGTTGTGGTGTACTGCTAAGAATGGCAAGGCTCACTGACAATGCCCAATAGGAGGCCGGCGAAACGTCTGGGAATGTACCATGTCCACGGTCCCACTCTGGAAATTATCATGCCTACAATGGACTATGATGCGTTCCTCTAAGTCTTCCTACTAATATGAGCGAGTTGCGAAAACAAGGTTAAACAACTTCTATACAACGAAAAGGGACTGCCAATTTGTGTTGCTCTATACCTGTTGTTGACTATGAGCCTTAGTGGTTCTCCTTTGTGTAACTTCGGCAATTCGTAGGCCGTCGGAGGTCGTGCATCCTTTTATATTCATAAATTTATTGTTCACTTACTGATCTCTCAAGTCCTATGATTTCTTTCAGCATGCCAAATAAGGTCTCATTTAATGTTATACATCTGTCCTTCTTTAGAACACAAAACGTGACTTTCGTGCAGTATAAATTCCATTTTCTAGGTATATTGTTTTCTATCATCACAACTGTTGCTTCTCCTTTCTCCGCAAATCTGTTCATGATGTGTCGAGATTCGTGGGGTTATTTCCATCTCCATTTCCCGTTCTATCTCCTCAAAAAACTTGTCCGAGATAGTGATGTCCTCCACCAGAATGTCTTCTAGAAGGTTTCTATCATTTTGAAGAGGAAGGTTTAGTTCTTTCTTCATGATCTTAGTGGTTGCATAATCAGGAAGCGAAGATAAATTCACCATCTTATCCCGTTCGTCGTATTGATCGATAGGTGTCGTTGCATTGGAATGTGAACTAGTCAGAGGTTGTGATAGAACGAGAGTGGAACTAGAGTGTATGGAGTAGGTAAGGGCCAATATAGAATGAAAAGCAATAGCACAACTGCTTCGGCAGAAAGTTGGTCAAAGTATTGACTTGACTTGTCTTTTTGACGAGTTGTAGCTCGATGCTGAGTATGACAAGAGTCACTTTCGATGCCGGAAAACGTCTGAGAATGTACCAAGTCCACGGTCCGATGTTTGAAAGTATAAAAACTATTTTGGCAGGGGACTCCGGACAAGGTGCGTTCAAATAAGTTGCCCTGAAAACACGGCCAAATTGCGAAAACGAATTCAGATCACATCTATACATCGAAAGGAGACTGCGACTAAAATATAGGCCACAACATCTTGGTCTTCGTATCTAATAGTATGGACTGTTTGTTGATCAGTATCCAAGTCACTGTCAGTCTGGTAGCTATATCGCGACACAACAGATCCAAACCACGTCTCTTTGGATAAAACGATTGTAGACTCCGTTTAACTTGTAATACAAAATGATATACAAGTAATAGTATCAAAAAGCATTTAATAAACTTACTTAGCACAAGACTTCACCAGTTTCTCCAAAGAATCACGAGTTATTTGGCGACAATGGCTGATATTCAGAGAATGTAGGGAGCGTGCTGGAGCCTCCGCCAAATGCTCCAAACTATTGCAATTTTTGAAATGTACAAAAGGCAATAGATAAAAGATCCTGAGATTAACTCTTTGACAAAAAATCAAAAAGTATTCTAAACCACTCAGTAATTTATACTCAACGAGTATAAAGGAAGCCAAAATAAAAGCCTATGAATCATTCGTTGATAGCACATAAAGCTCTTAACATTGTTAAAATATTATAAACTTAGCCGTCCATGTGTAAATGAGATGGTTATATGTAAATAAAATAGAAATTAAATGAAACAACGATTCCGCTTATTAATATAATATAAGATGTATTCACCCTATTTAGTTTAAGGTGATGAAATACTGGTAGTAGAATTTTTCCACAATGATATGAGTAGAGCTGACGTTTCCATTGAATTTCGCAGTCTTGCTTTCCCAAAAGTTGTTCTCATCCAGGGTGGACTGCAGTTTCGACTCAGCATCGGTCTTATCAATATTCCTAGCAGAGTCGAACTGTGACACTCCCGCTGGGGGTGTTGATAAGACCGATGCGAGGTCGAAACTGCAGTCCACCCTGTATGAGAACAACTTTTGGGAAAGCAAGGCTATGCAAAATTCAACGGAAAAGTCAGCTCTACTCATATCATTGTGGGAAAATTCTACTACCAGTTCTTCATCACCTTAAACGAAATACATCTCATATTACTGATTTACTGGTAGTCTCGAAAAATAATATAATATAATATAGTTATGTGGGGATCTTGGTTGGTCGGGTCAGTAACATTAGCAAGAAATTTAAATAACGATTGAGCGAATTAGATAATTGTATACTATTTTATTTGTATAAATAAACAGCTTCCACCAAACGCATTTCTGGCTAGTAAATAACTTCACCCATTTGTAAGCATGCAGACTAAGTTTGAGGTACCCAATCAAATCATGTGATGCCTTAATAAGGTGACAAGGTTAAGTGTATAACAAAGCGATAAGGGTTGAAACCGGCCAGTTTTTCATTTGGGTTAATATATTTTTGCTCTATTTCGTAAAGTATAGAATCTTGCTCTGATGATGCCTTTTATAGTACAGACGAAAGCTTAGCACAGGTTTATCGGGGTCGCAGGACGGTAAGCCGAGGAGTTCTTCGCACAATACAACTGTTTCAAGCCTCCTCCAGTTTCCAGTGAAGCCACAGCACGAATTCCTTCCAGCCAACTTTTTCTTCGAAATGGAAAGTTATGCCACAATATATGTAAAATAGGTTGCACAAGTAAAATGTTGCAACATATAGGATCATAATTAAGAACCCAGGGGAAGCCCTTAAAGATGAACTTATGTGTTGTCTGCAACAGTGAGTAAATAAAAGAGAATCGGATAAGTGTAAAAAGAACACATTTTTTAACAAGATACTAGGCAGCGTGTAGTTCAAATGGCACAAGAGTAGTCTCGATCATCAGTGAGAAAGTTTGTATAATTTGGTTAATAGTTGAAGTGAGCCCTATTTCCCTCTAGGTCTCATTCTTATATAAAATAGTAAATAGCAGCACGAGCACTTATTTTATGCTCAATGTATTGATCCTGTTAAAATTGTGATGTATTTATTCAATCAAATGAAAGGGAATTATGATATCTATTATGATTATAGCTTTTTTGAATGATGAGGCGAGTTATGACTATCTACGTCTTCCGAGAGTAATCTAAGAACAGGTTCGAATTACCTAAAGTATCTTGTACGAATTTATATGTCTGTCATACTCTAGTGCTCAATTCTTCGTCCAAGCTTGCAAATACCTTGTTAGAAAAAAAACAATTATCCGTGCTTAAATCATGTTAAGCGACCTAGAGTGACTAAGTTCTTAGTCAAGCAAAGTATATACTTGAACTCACATGGATATAAATGGCAGATCTCTGTTTATGATGTAGATGATGTGTCGAAATTTGGTGAGAAAAAAGTTCTACATTTATAGTGAGGGCTATAGAGGCCGAAATGGAAGAAAAATAAATAAAATAAACATGAGTTTGTTACCCGACTTTCGTCACTGATGTGCAAGTGACATCGAGCTTCTCAAGATGAGGACACTTTGTAGCTAATACACGCATCGTCACATCACCAATTGCCGTCAGGCCGCACAAGTCCAAGATGCGTAGACGAGTCATCCTGCCAAGCATCTCAGCAATTGTTCGTTCTTGTGTCAAAGTTTGTATATTAGCTAAGACCATCTCCTCAAGGTGTGGGCAATGTTCAGCTAACCATGAAATTCCAGCTTCGTTAGTAAGGGCCTGAGTACCACGAAGGTCAAGTGAGGCAAGCAGGGGCAACTAAAGAAGGTAGATAAAAACAGGAAATATAAAAAAGGTGATATAAAGAGTGAAGTATCCCAAAATGACCGCATTTTCTATCTTTTCCGTATCCTATCAATGGTCAAAAATCGGTAAGACAGATTTGTATAGAACGGAGGAAAATTCACAAGCAAGAATTAATTTTCATTTAATTATAAGTTTTATTCTATCAGGCCCTACAATATCAGGCGATAAAACTTTTTTCCTCAAAAAGTGACTTAGCCTGACCAAATGAGATCAGTCCGGGGGAAATATAGTAAGTGAAGAGTTTTATTAGTTATACCATTATCCAAATATGATTGTCAATGAAGGCAAACTTGATCAAGAGAAGTTCAACTCAAAATCTTGCCAGGAATAATTGGGTTAGATGCTAGAAATTCATCAAATTTCAAAACCAAGTACGGATTACATAATAAAGGAAATTATCCTCAAGGAAATCAGATTTCATTTATGTACTTTCTTCTTTTCCGGCTCTGGCTCCAAGTTCCCAGCTTCCATGTTTATGCATCAAAAGCCATGGCGAAACTATTAGGAAAGGTGATGTAATCATCCAAGTATTAAATAAACACTCTGGGTTGCAGTGGTGACGTTTAGAATTCTCTTCTCGCCAAAAGAGTTGAGAGTGGCGATCCCATAAGAAGTCCAAATATTTGCCAAGAAAAGTTGGTTTCATGGAATCTCTTGGTTCATAATTGTTGAGCTTACTTTCATTTCTAGCATAACTGTTTGGTC